GCTGAGAGAGAACTGTCTCAAAGTCACACAACTGGCTGCGCGCCTAAAGCGGGACTTGAACTCGCAATCTTCTGGTTTCTATCCCAATGCCTTAACCTGATGCCTAGCTCAGGAGAACAATCCCCTCTTCAATTTCATGAAATAATACAGATTTCATTAAACATTTTCCACCAAGAGAGTGCCTCTTTTTTGCAACCCACCAAAACATGGTTAAAATAACCCTCTCATGCTTTCAAACATTTTAAAGAAGTACGGTATTGGGTAATTTATATGCTGATCTAATCAGGGTTGTACAAGCAACACTTTTCAATGCAGCTGTTGGACAGAGGTAGAAAGGAAATCTGATTCCAATTTGGGGATGAGTCCTCAGTCTTGACACCTGGCAATTATATGGACAGGTCCATATAATTCTAAGCAACATTTTGGGATGGAATTTGATATCACTTTCTTTCCAGGGATGAAATGGCTCAACTACTGGATTACCTAAATCAGTATCCAAAGTGGCCTTCATATTAACAGGGGCTTGTCTGAATGTGCAATAAAAGCAAAAAGATCCTTGACATTATTTTTTTCATAAGTAAATATTAAGTTACTGAAAATAGCATCTGGATGATGTCTAATATATAGTTTTAACTTCCTCTTTATCAATACAATGTTAAACTGCTGGCAAGGAGAACCAGAAAGCTAAAAATAAGGACATTTGTTCAGTCTCATCATTATTATGTGGTCCAGTATTGTCATAAAAGTCATTTATCCTACAGTATTTACAATTCTGCAATAGTTTTCAGGTAATCAACATTGATTCTCCATTAAAAAAGGTAAATAAAAGAGGTGCAACCTTCATTACTAGATACGTATTTTTTCCTAGATCTGAAATAAGATTATGGTAATTTATTATTAATTTTGCTTATTCTGAAAAAATACTTGAGCTGAAAAGTTATGTAATTTAACAATTAGCAGATTATGAAGTACAAATAATGGCAGAATAGAAGTCTAGTAAAAAAGATTAAAAAATAAATACTCTTTATGGAAGTCCACTCTTTAGTGAGATTTCCTAATACAAATAAAATCAAATGAAGTAATTGCCTACCTGACAAGATATTTTCAAATTTGGGATGTTCCCTCCCATTTCTGCAGAGAATATAAAATCCTTCTATTGATTTTTGATTTTTTTTAGACTTTAGGGTAAAGCTTTCAATCTTCTGCCATATCATTAATATTTTGCCCAGAATTTCCAATGGGAGGAACTGGAATAAGAAATTAAATTTTAAAAGGACTGTCAGGATTATTCATTAAGAACGATTAGTCTTTTGATGTCTAGCTTGCTAAAAGTATAAGAGGTAATTAGCAATTTAAAGCAGAAAAATCCCTGGTCAATCTGAACACAGTATTAAATATTAATAGTGTAGTAATTTGGATTTGAAGGCAAAAGGCTTTGAAGAATGTGAGAATGCATATCTGCAACAAATATATCCTTCCCCAAAATCACCTGGAAATATTTTAAGAAAATGTATATAATGGGTGCATACATAATGGGTGCATATAAAAAGTATATAATTTGGATGGTATAACTATGGATGTTATATTTATCATTTTCCCATTTATGATTTTTCTCTGCATTTTATGTATAATTCCTCACTCCCAAATGGACACACCTTAGAAATGATGGACGTCTCACTAATTCAGTGGACTGCATATTCAGTGTTGCAGAATATGAATAAAGAATTATTTTAGACAAAACTTTTTTTAAAAAAAAACTAAACTAAACTAGAAAAGCTATGCACTATGCAATCTACTGAAATGATTTTTTTTCCAGAGCTGAAGAAAAATATGAGAAACATTTTCTAAAAGCTTGAGTATTTCCAGATTTCTGGAACTGAAGCAAAGTATCAGGTAAGGTAGGGTAACTTATACTGGATATGCGAACAAACGTGTTAGCTATGCAGGGATGACCAAAAGAATGGCTAAACTTTCAATATTAGAAAATGCTAAATTTGTGACCACCAAGCCCATCTTCTAAGAAATGCTGCAGATGTTTGCTTTTCAGATTCTGAGTGGGAAGCCCCTTGTGAAATAAGTAAAAGTGGTGGCAGGATACCTGTGAACTTAATAATTTGTATCAGGTGGTATGTCTGTAAAAGCAAAATTGGGGAAGGAGGGGGGAATCACACAAATGCTGCTGAGGTTTCAATAATAGATGGCAACTATTCAGAATCAACAACATTTGTTTGTTAGCCACTAATTTTTATCCCACCTTTATTATTTCTATAAATAATGTGATGTGGCAAACATATACAAGACACCTTCCTTGTCCTATTTTTCCCACAAGGACAACTTTGTGAGATGGGTTGGGCTGAGAGAGAGAGAGAGAGAGAGAGAGAGAGAGAGAGAGAGTGACTGGCCCAAGGTCACCTGGCTGGGCATTCATGCCTAAGGTAGAACTAGAACTCACAGTCTCCTGGTTTCTAGCCTAGTGCTCTAACCATCAAACAAAACTGGCTCTCTATGTAAGCATGTATGTGCTTGAAACAACACAACCAGGGAAACAGTTGGCACATAACAGCTGTTACAGAAAAAGGACCCACAGTCAAGTTATAGGGGAAAGAAAACCAAATATGATGGTAAATTTGGCACCTATGGATGCTGTATTTATCATTTTCCCATTTGTGATTTTCTCTGCATTGTATGTATAATTATACTGCACTAATCATACTAATGTATGTATGTAACCTTACTGTTCAAATCAAATAGAACAACAGAGTTGGAAGGGGTCTTTGGAGGTCTTCTAGTCCACGCTCTGCCTAGGCAGGAAGCCCTACACCCCTTGAGAGAAATTGCTATCCAACATCTTTTTAAAAACTTCCAGTGTTGGAGCATCCACAACTTCTGGAGGCAAGTTGTTCCATTGTTCTATTTTAATCATACTAGCCTTATGGGGCTTTGGAAGGACAGCCAGTTTGTAGTAGTAGTTAAGGCATCAGATTAGAAATTGGGAGTTATAGTAGTGCCTTAAGCATAAGGCACTTGGCAGTCATTCTCTCACAGCCCTAGGAATCATCCTAAGCAAAACTACTTGGTTTTGGAAGAACATGCATACCCAAATCGAGAAGGTTCTTGGATTGATTCCAGTTTAAAAAAAATCTCAGGTATTTGGTCCCAATTATGAGATCTTGAACAGCCATTGTAGCATACTGAAGCTATAATGGGGTTGACTGGCCGATGACTTGATCCCGTTACAAAGCAATAGCTACATTTTTCTGCACTTCTTGAAATAATAAGCTATAAAAGATAATGTGGAAAGCTTTACGATGAAAGTGAAATTCCCACCATGCTGGAGTTTTTACAAAGAAGGCTAACACAGTTCCTCACCAATGGGAAAGCTATGACTAGCTGCTATGCTATTTTTAGAACTGTCCAGATTTACTTTTTTTTCTCAATCATGTATTCATTCCTATATTGATACCTGTGGTGGGCATTGACTGATAGATGACAAATCATTGGTAAAGATGACACACAATCCAGAGATATCCGTATCGTTTGAACTTACTCCAAATCTGACTATAATCCAGCTTCGTTCCATGAGAACAATGCAATATAATTGAATCCAAGATGGAATATGACTTGGAATGCCAAGATAATAAACGGGGAAATACAAGTATCATTTTAGTATGTTGTTGTTCTCACTTAGCAAGTGATGGGCAGGACTGATAGTGGCCAAAGCTGACTGACATAGGCCAATTTAAGTCTTGCCTTATAGACCAGTGGTTGCCAACTGGTGGGCTGAGGACCACTGGTAGTCCGTGAGAAAATTTTGGTGGTCTGCAGAGAAATGTCCCCCCAGAGCATTCCTCCCAAAGCAATTAATCCAGGCTGCGTGAGAACACAAGGCTGTGCCACTCACATGGCCCGCCCACCTGCTGGCCCCCACCCTTCAGCCAAGCGCAAACCTTACCTTGAATAGAGCCACGCAAGCTGGAACTGGAAGGTAAGACTAATGGCGGAGGAGAAAAATCTGTCCCGGGGTGGCTTGCTGACGTTGATGGGAAAGTCGGTCCCATATCCCAGAGCTGCAGTAATCACAGGATTGGCCCTTTGGTCCTCCCAGAGCAGCTCCTCCAGTCCATGGCAGGCCGGTGCACCCAGGTGGAGGAGCAGCTGCTCTGGGATGACCAGAGGGCCAGTCTTGTGACTACTGCAGCTCTGGAATATGGGACCGACTTTCCCACCAACGTCAGCAAGCCACCACCAGTCAAAATTCACATTAGTGGTCCGCAGGATTTAAAAATTATGAGTTTGGTGATCCCTGAGGTCCAAAAGGTTGGCGACCCCTGTTAAGGACTATTATAGCCCATGTGTGCAATTTAGTGGGGTGGGGTAAGGAAAGTCAGAATATTAGTTGAATCAGCCCCTATGAAAGAAAGTTAAGTGCAGTCCATCAGGTTGGAGAAAGAAATGTGCATCTGCTTCAGTAAAGGATCATGGTTTGCTAAATAAATAGTCAAAAACAATAAGATAGTGTTTGCATTTAGGAACCAAAGAATTCAGGATTCTAGAAGATTTGAGACCCATGGCATCAACCACAGTCTTAGCACCTTCTGATGACTACAGAATTCCACTCAGCATTTACTTTTCCTTCCTGTATTCCACTGACAGCTGACTGGTTATGTCCTAATTGCTTCCAAGAGAGGTCAGCAAAGGTTTTCCTTAAAAAAAAAATTACTTCTAAATAAGCTAAAGACAACACATTCACTCTCTCTCTCTCTCTCTCACTCCTTCGCTCCCCCATGCGCATAAACACACACACACAAGTGTATAGGCACACACCCTCTTGCGCATGTTGATTTATGGAAACAATTATGATCCCGTCGCAGTCTTCTCCGAGCTAGGAAAGTTTGGAGCTACAGTAGAGCCTCTCATGTTGCAAAAGGCAAACGGGAGAAATGGAATACTTGTGCGTCCGGCTGTTATCAACAGGAGCAAGTAAGTTATCTGTCTTCTTTGAAAACTTCACCAAAGAGTGCTCTTAGCTGCTAACAGTTTCCTGTCCTCACCAATTCTGTAATATCGGAGGCAACGGTCCTGACAGTTTCTTAAGAGCCAGCAGCAATAAATCTGTGTACTTGTGTGTGCATGGAGTGTGGAGTGAGTAAAAAAAAAAAAATAGGGAGAGGTGTTTTATGCAGTGCTCCTGATATTTACAACTGGGTTATAGGAGCCAGCCTGTGAGAATTTCCTAACGTAATAAGGTGGGTGAAGCAATCAAATGATAAGGGGTTGAAGAGTGGCTTTCTGCATCTAAAGTCTGGCAACTGAGTTGAAAAGAGAAGCCAGCCAAACAGGGCTATCAGACGCTGAAGAGCGTCCCAGACCATGGCTAACGTGCCTGCATAAACATTTTGCCTTCTTAACTGTTTTATTCATTTGCTTATGTAATGACCCTAATTATTTAGGCGTACCAATTTCCTGATAAACCTTTTCCTTTCAGCACGAGCAGTGAATATGAGTAGTGAAAGAAGTGACAGCAGCTGAAGGTACTGCAACCTCTTTCTTTGAAGGAGATCCTGGCTAGAGGATATTTAAAGGGCCGATTCTCTCTAACAGACCAATATTTGAAGAGAAGGTTTGTTTTCTGTTTGTTTGCAAGTTTGCAAGAGGAAGCACAGCCGCTGGTTAAGTCACTTTACAAATCCAGGGAAAAAACAAGAGGACAGGTCAATGACCAAGGAACGACGAGCTACTGAAGACGGATTTTTTTCATTATGTTGTTCGTGAGCACCCAGAATACTGCACTATAATGCACAAATGGATATTGACATGGATCCTGCCAACTTTGTTCAACAGATCGTATCTTTACATTATCTTCCTGGTGGGCGCTCTATCCTTAGCTTGCAATGACATGAACCCAGAGCAAATGGCTACAAATGTGAACTGTTCCTCCCCGGAGCGACATACTAGAAGCTACGATTATATGGAAGGGGGGAATGTGAGAGTCAGAAGGCTGTTCTGCCGAACTCAGTGGTACGTCAAGATTGACAAGAGGGGCAAAATCAAAGGAGGACGAGATCTTAACAACAACTACAGTAAGTACCCTCTTTTCTACAAATGTGGACTGAAAACTCAGGCCGTCGTAATCCGTTGCTTTGGGCTAAGTAAATGAGGACAGGAGATACTGGCTATGCTAGCAATTAAACATTTTCCTTTGAATCGTATGACAAGGGCATTTAATCCTGATTTATCTAAAAGCCATCATTTTAAATAATATGTTTCCACTATGTTACAGATCTGCTAATGTATTGCTTACAGCTGGAAACTATTAGCAGAGAAAGCCCAATATAACAAGTGAATTAAGGCTGGTATGCATTAAGGTCTCCGAATTGTACAGCTCGGATGGGATTTTAGGGTTGAAATACAAGCTCCCTATAAGATATTGGCCTGGAGTTTTTAAACAGTCGTATCAACACTTGACCGCAAGTCAAATTTAAAGAGGGGAAGAGGTCATGATAAACTACATATTGGAAAAATTATCCTGATAGTTTACTAAACTGAAATGGATTGTGAATATAATAAAAATGCAATGCTTTTTTTTGACAATCAACATTTTTTCCCATAGCTGAACCTTATTTTAAAATCTACAAGAGAACTGATAAATAAGTATTTTAAGTCCAATTTTTATTCCTTTTTTTATTGTTAAATCCTGAAATGCACTTTTAGCGTCTTGCTAATATTAATAGTTTTATACCAGATGGCATAATTTATTTTAAAAAATAAATTTAAAGGAAAAGGGTACAAGGGAAGCATAGATCAGTAATTCTTTTACTTATATTTAACATTGACTTGAGCAAGTCAAAAGTATATTCTACTCAGTTCTGCATCAAAAAAATTATGCCATCCGGCAAATTGATAACATTCTATAACTTACCTGTCTTTTAAAACTGATTCCTATATTAGCTCAGGTCATTACTACATGGGATCAATTACTAGGAATAGATAAAATCTTAGTATAGGAACTTCAAACCAAAATAAGCCATTTTTATTCAGACCTTCTGGAATCTCCCACTGCCTTGCCATATCAAAATACATAAAAGTAACACAACTTGTATCTCTATTTTCGTTCCTCAATTCCTACAATATTGAAAGTAAGCTATAATCATGTTTTATTTCTTCACTATTTACCTCCTATTTCTTTAGATGGATTTCTAGCACCTCATAGTGACCAATAATGATACAAAATATACTTTACTTCAATCTCTCTTGGTCAAGTAGTAAGCGCTCAGTTGGATCATATGGCTCTTTTTAAAAGTGTGTACGCCTAAAATAACTGAGTCTTTTTATATGGGCTAAAAGATTGAAATTCAGGAAGCCAACAGACCAACTGCAGGATAAAAAGACCAGAATTAACAATTTATCATGTAATACATCACAAACACAGTACACACGAAGGTGTGTTGGTAGGTCCATTGGTCTGAAGTCAACGGAGCTGTATTTACTTCAGCCTTATATTATTACTCTCCATTGTATCTTGCCATATAGTTAAAACATACATAATTGAAAAAAGAAGACCAGGATTAGATCAAAAGGGAGGACTCTACCCCTCCAACTTTAGGAAAATATTCATTAAAATAAGTTGATTAACATAGTTATCCAAAATGTACTGGATCAATCACAGTGATGTCAAAGTCTCATATTCAAAATCAGTGTTTTGAATTCAGAATTCCAAAACTTTAAAGTTCCTCTGAAGGACATTAACAGAGAGACTGCGAGGGAGAGAGATTGGGGGGCAACCTCCCCACTAATGAAACTGGCCACAAAATCTTTACCTGCATGAGCTGGAATTCTGGATGGTGAAACTGGGTCCTGGGTTTGAATGCCCACTTTTGGTGGGACTGATCTGGTACAGACTTGTGTGTGTGTGTGTGTGTGAATTTATAATTTCATTCTAATTCATTGAAATCTAGTTGATTTCAGGTAACATGGGGCTGCAAGTGTGAGGAGAAAATCAAACTGTGATTGCATAATGTACAATTGATGAGAGTGTAGAATAAGAGATACGGTGACTAGACAAGTGATGCTTCTCAGCTGCATCCCACCCTTGGCTCCCCACAGAAGGCTCTAGTCCGTGTCCAAAACCTAATCCAAACTGTACTTCTTAGTCTACCACTCTATTAACATTTCAGGGATTCCACAGTTACAAGCAAACGTCTGTACAATATTGGTATTCCAATAGTATTCCTGGAAAAGGATGTTGGTAGAAATGGATGCTGAATGTAGTCTTCGCTCTCTCTGCTCCAACCCTCAATCCTATCTTAAGACTCCCTTTCCGGTGTTCCAAAACATATTGTCTCTCTATGTGTGTTCGTGTGTGTATACGTATGTATAACTTCAACCTTATTCCTGAAATAAGGGCAGTGTAGGAAAGCAATGGAGAGACAAGCCCCTTAACTTACTTTTTTCTGCTCAGATAATGAACATCCCCTTCCATTAAGACGGTCGCATTCTTGAATAGCTTCTCTTCATCTCTCCGGACAAAGACACCGTAGGTTTCATCTCCGGGGGCATTAAATGTGTCCCACTATAGAGGGTGTCATGTGATTCCTACTCTGGTGTTCATGGTTCCACTGGGATTAATAATTAATAGAAATAAAGGCCACCCCTTTGGAGTATCTAACTTCTTTTCTTTGGTTAACAGGGTATCCATTGGGTAGATATGTATCTCAGTAAGAACAGATTTTTTTTTTAGTTTTGTTTCCAGATCTATCCAGTAGTGAAGTATCTTCACTACTGCAATTACTTGTAGACTGTTTAATAATCAAAGATTATCTTATTTCTATTCTATAACCCAAATCATTCAATTGTTTCCTTATTCAGAATCAGGCAATTGAATGAGGTTTCAGAATGAGAATTATCCAGAATCTCATTATTATCACATGAGAGATGCCATTATCTCTACACAGCTTCCTTGTCCAGGTCTTTATTTAAATGTAAAAATACCTTCCATAACTTTTACATTCAGAGCTTTCCTTGACCTATACAAACATACACATACACGAAGGCTCACTCCCTTGTCTAGGTGTGGCCTTTCCTAATTTCTCATGCCTGCTCGGCCAGCTGCTCTTCTGGCTTTCTGTCTCTCAAATTCCTCCATAAAGTCTACCCTATGAATAAGGGTTTTAGCTATAATTTCCTATTTAAATTTATATATCTCTGAAGGTGTGAATTTTTTTTTTCCTCTATCATTTTTGTGTTTATGAACTTGGGGTGTGTGTTACGTGCTTTTGAGTCACTGTTGACTCCTGGCCACTACCCAGACATATTCCTGCAGTTTTCTTGGCAAGTTTTTGGTAGTAAGTGGTTGGAGGTGGGTCGTATCAATTTAGCTACTAGTGCAACTTTCTCCAACTTGATTTTCTGTCGAGGAGTTGAGATTACTGGTTCCAGCATTCCCATTGCTGGGAATCCTGGAAACTATAACTTCAATACATCATGAGGATAACAAGTGCTAATAATCTAAGTGCTAGAGCTCACTGTAACTACATAGCCAAAAAGGCATTAAGAGTTGTTAACCTACATAGCTTTTTCTCTGGTAATATCACACTACTAACTAGAGCATACAAAACATTTGCCAGACCAATACTCAAATACAGTTCATCAGCCTGGAACCCACATTACGTATCTGATATTGACACAGTTGAAAAAGTCCAGAAATATTTCACAAGAAGAGTTCTCCACTCCTCTACTCGTTGTAGAATACCTTATGCCACCAGACTTGAAATTCTAGACCTAGAAAAACTAGAACTAGATTTTTGGTCTGATCTAAGTATAGTATATAAAATTATATATTTCAATGTCCTACCTGTCAATGAATACTTCAGCTTCAACCATAACAATACCAGAGCACACAATAGATACAAACTTATGGTAAACTGTGCCAAACTTGATTGCAGGAAATACGACTTCAGCAACAGAGGGGTCAATGTCTGGAATACTCTACCTGACTCTGTGGTTTCTTCCCCCAAACCCAAAAACTTTAACCTTAGACTTTCTATTACTGACCTCATCCCTTTCCTAAGAGATCTGTAGGGGGGCATGCATAAGCGCACCAACGTGCCTACCGTCCCTGTCCTATTGTTTCTTTTATTTTTCTTATATGTTCTTGTATTCATAACTATGTTTATCCTTATACCTATTATCTTGCAAGTGATTGACAAAATAAATAAAATAAAAGTAAAAAAATAAAAATAAAACAGTTGAAGTGACATTAATATATCATTAGCAGTTCTGCCCTGTCCGAAGGGTTCCCACAGTCCTGGAAGTACAGATTTCAAAACAAACCTGTTTCCTCTCTTATTGCTGGATGGACCAAATATGTTTCTATTCTCACTTAGAATAATTCATTTGCATATTTCCTCTAAGGTGCAGGTGTCCAACCATGGAAACTTTAAGACTTGTGGACTTCAACTCCCAG